GGCTGATAGTGTTCTTTTTCTTACTGGTGCTGGTTATGTTTGTTGTTAAAATTCTTTGTCCCTCCTGTATCTAAAAATGGCACTGATATCCTTATATATCACACTTGGGTATCTCAGTATCACCCAAGGGGGGTGGGAGAAAAATTTGTACTTGCAGATCTCCCGTACGGTGGCTCAAGCTGGAAATAAAAGTGACTGCTGGATATGCTCTCACAGCCCAGCGCACCTACAACAAGGAATCCCAATGATCGGAGTACCAATATCCCTCCGGCAATGGGGAACAATAAACGGCGGCTTCGTTAGACACTACTCGTTAGCTGCCCATCGGTCCGCTCCTAAAGAATGGAGGGCCGCCCCTGCTAACTGGATAATCTCCCCAAGAGTAGAGGCGCCTTTCTGTTACAGATCCAACAACACCGGAGCTTATAATAAAGCCACACCTGTAGGACACTACCCTCATTGCCTAACTACTCTAGATTATAGCCCCAATAGCACCAGTGGAATCCTGTTGGGTAATGTACCCTCTCTCAATTGTACAGGATTCATGGTCTACAACTTTTCTAAGGAACCTCATGTTGCTCTCATTGCAAACAGATCGGAATTTTACATTGACTCCAATTTTACTTCTTGTAATATATCTCGGTCCAGCAGGATAACAGCTGAACGTGGTCCGTCCTATACGATGCATATTAATCGAAAGTGCCGGATATGGCACAACACCTGTCGAGATTTGAGTACCCTTTCTGCCCCAGGCCTTTACTGGCTCTGCGGAAACAGGGCTCATAAAATCTTGCCCTGGAATTGGGTGGGGGCATGCACTCTTGGACGTGTTATCCCTGGTTTTGAAATGCATAGTACAATATATCTGGAACAAGTAAAAAATTTCAACCATCACATGAAAAGGGCGGTTAACCCCTTAGCTACCAGAAACACAGGGTTCCATCAATTTGTGAGAACCTTCATACCGTGGCTTGGAGTAAGAGAATTGGAACTAGCCATAATTAACATTTCAGCCACAATGGAAGCTATGGGAAATGCCACTGCGGATGCAATTCAGGCTCTGCAAGAAGAGATCTCCCAGATCTCACAAGTAACTATACAACACCGCGTAGCCCTAGATTACCTATTGGTATCCCAGGGAGGAGTATGTGCCTTAGTAAACTCCACCTGTTGTGTCTATGTCAATCAGGACATGCGAATTGAAACTGACATTCGTAAAATCCGAAGTCAGTTAAGGGTCTTACATCAAGTGGCCTCAGAGAATACTGACTGGGGTCTAAAAGAAATGTGGTCTTGGCTAACCTCCTGGCTCCCAGATTTCGGGGCCCTTGGCAAGAAAATCCTGTATGGAATATTGTTTGTCTTGATAGTTCTGATAATGTTTTATGTCTTAGTGCAACTGATCCTCTGCTGCGTGAAAGCCAGCAGGAGAAGCTTTAGCAAGGCAAGAAAACCCACAGCAGAGTCTAGAATAATGGTATTACAAAAGTGTGAGCAGATTGAAAGAAAACATGAAAGGCTGCATGATGAAATAGAGGGGCTCATGAGAATAAAAATTTAAGGGTAAAGTGAGACTAAATAGTCTCAAAGGGGGGGGACTGTGGAATCAGAAAAAATATATGCCTTAAACTTTGACTATTTTAGTTATAAGATGACATAACCGCTTTGTGGAGAATTGCTGGCTCTGTATAGTAGAACAGATAAGAGAAAGTGTTTGTTCTTTGTAACTCCTCTGCAACTGCTTCGCTCACCGCGGCCTTGAAGATAGCAAAAAGTATGTACAACTCTGATTTGCAGGTGCAAGAAGGAGGTTTGTGAACTAACCTCGCCTCCCCCATTAGTTCCCATCCTGATTACAGCAAAGAAATAATGAAGTAATGTTATAGCCGCTTTTCATGCTAATTTCACTATATGATCACGTGAGTTGTAAGCAACTGTTAAAAAGTATATAAGCCTCCTGATTTTGCTCTTGGGGGGGGACCCCTTCCAAGTGCTTGGGAAATCCATGTCACTTTGGAATCCCCCCTACAGCTGTAGTTTCTTTTGAATAAAAGCTTCTTCTGACCTGACCCAAAAGTATGCTGCGTGTGTTTCCACGACAAAGGATTCCTGAGGTTTAGTTAGTAGCATTCTCTACCCTCTCTTGGAAAATATAAAACATTTTATCATCAATTATCACAAAACAGCAGAAGTATATAATTTTGTTAAGCTTGTACATTTTAAAAATGAAACTATGCATGTAATGTATGTAAAGGATGCAAGGGAATGTCCAACAAAAGATTTTGATATTAAAAGATTTTAGCTAATTTAATAAAAGTAATGTTAATAAAAAATGTACTGCAACAGAGTATAGCTTCAGGGTGGATGTTAGATCACTTTCAAGCTGGATGGCTGTGCCAAATCAGACCCACTCTGACCACTTCTGACCACTATGTGTTACAAACAGCATACCAGTAATAGGAATGCTTTACGGGCAACTGAAAGTGATTAGAAGCATAAGGGGTGTACTTGGTAGCCGTGTTGGTCTGAGACAAGAAGACATACAAAAAACTAGAATTCTCGGTTCCAAAATGAAACCTTTTATTAAAACAACTGGGAAATCCCAAGAAAATTGTCCTTTTCTGCTGATTTTCTTGGGATTTCCCAGTTGGTCTAATAAAATGTATCATTTTGGAACCGAGAGTTCTAGTTTTTTGTATGTCTTCTTGTCTCAGACCAACATGGCTACCAAGTACATCCCTGAAACATGGAAGATGCCAAATTGTAGCCGATTTTGGATTTTAAACTTCATTGCAGAACAAGAAGAAAGATTTTTTACCTCCCTGCCTGCCATCTGACACCTCCAGGGAAGGAATTCTACCTTCAAAAAGCTGCTCAGCACAGCTCACAAAGACACCTCTCATGGACCCAGCGGCACAGCCTTTCATTTTCAGCTCCCTTTGTGCAAAAACGAAGTTTATTTCCTTCCTATGAGGACTTTTTACCATCTACACTTTTCCCAGAGCTTGACGAAGGGACTTTGATCCCGAAAGCTTGTAGAAAAGGACAATCTCCTTGCGATTTCCCAGTTGGTTTAATAAAAGGTATCATTTTGAAACCAAGAGTTCTAGTTTTTTGTATGTCTTATGTACATTTTAATATGAGGAAAAATTAGGTCTTGCTACCTTTAGACAGGATATTGATGAGAAGATATTTGATTGATTAATGAACAACGAGGGGGAATGACTGCTCCTAGCCTGCCAACCCCTTTTCATAATAAAAGAAAAGGAAGAGTTTCGATAAAATGTGATTACCATAACATTTAAACTGTTAAAAGGTAACAGTCGTTGACACAGTACACAACTACCCTGTGGAACTTACAGCCCAAGATGTCAGGAGTGCCAAGGCCAATTAATATTTTAAAAGAGGATTAGGTCTTTGTGTCAGTAATTGGAGCATCAACTGGTAGGATAACTAAACAATTAAAGGTTACAACCCAGAGACAAGTCAATCACTAACTGAGAAGATGAGAGAGACATTTTTCCTTCCTGCACAGCTAAGTTCTGACAGAATAATCTGTCTCCTGGTTTCTCACAGCTTACAGTGTGGTATGCATGTGGTACTGACTATTGGTAGACCATGTCTATACTGTGTCTCTTACCACTTTGTGTGCTCAGGTCCCCTATAAGTTGTCTACTCTGCCTAACTGTTAAGCTTGGCTGCATGTGGATTGAAAGGGTAGGAACATAACTTGTCTCTCAATGTGGGTCCTTGGTTTAGAAGGGAGACAGTATAGACGTTGCCCTGGACCAGGGGTGTCAAACTCATTTGGCCTCATGGGCCAAATAAGTGGCTCAAAACTGGTCCACAAGCTGGATAAATGGTATCCTGTAGTCTCTGCAGACTAGATTCGAACTCTCCTCCTGCGTGCTGGATCCAGCACCCATGGCACCTACTCTGGGACTATGCCACACACAGTACCTACCCTGGACCAGCCAGAACAAGCTCCACATGCAGCACAGATCCCAGACCAACTGAAGCCAGCAGTGTGTCCTGGACCAACCAGGGTGGGCATTGTATGCACTTTGCATCCCAGGCCCTGTGCACAGGTCTGATCTGGTGCACACCATGTGGGTCAATTTGAGACCATAGGGCAGCACCAGGGGGGGCCAGATGATGGTGTTCTGTGGGACAAATCTTGTCCCAGGCGATGTATCTTTGACACCTGTGCCTTGGACATTAGGACTCACAGATCAATGATCTGGTACAGCAGTTGCTACATTTCCATGTATTCCTATGTCATTTATATCATTAGGAGAGTGATCCAATATCCATTAAGTCAACATGACGACTTGAATGGGCTTTGGATCAGGCCCAACAGACCACTGCCAGTACTTTATGTGACTAAGACCAGCTCAAATATGTCAGGGTCTTAACAAATGAGTAGTTACCACTAGACTGTATTTGTGGCTTGAAATTTTCCATGTCTGTTTCAGCTCTGCAATTCAAAATAAGAACACATTCTTGCCCTGTAGAGAGGTGTATGGACGTGTGTGCACATGCACACCTCTCTCCACAACAAGAAAGAGCTTGTTTTGAAGAAAGAGATTCTGTGCTATATTGTGTGCATCAGCGCCATCTTCATTTTCTCCTAGCTGTTTATAGCTATAGTGATTTAAAAGAAAAAGCAAAGCTTCTCTTCTACAAGGAAAGCTACATTTTGTACATAGAATATCTCAAGGTCTGAAAGTCGCCAAGTCATCAGGATACCTCAAACATGAAAGTGTCCACTTCCTCTCGAATATCCAAGTAGCTCAGTTTGTTCCCTCCATTATCCATTGCATTGAGAAGCATGTCAAGGAAAGCTCTTCTCTTTTTTGACCCACTTGGTTCACAGTTGCTGTCAAAGTCACATTTTCTTTCATCATGCTTTTTTTTTTCACTAGCTTTTTCTGTAATAACCTTAGGTAAGAAATATATATGATTCAGTGCTTATGTTCTCCAATCTACCAATATGTGTTCAAACTAATCTCTACCCCACATACTTAAAAACTGATTTAATCCCCAATGCCATATTCTGCACAGCTCAGTGGCAGACAGGGACAAATATATCCATCCCTTAATATCTGGCTCCCCATACTGTGCACTGTTTGAACGCAGCGTTGTTGTGAATCATATGGAATTTGAGTATTTAAGTCCTACTTTTTCACAAAGCACCATTAACAGAAACATAGTTTTGACTCCTCATTTTGACTGCCCTTTGTTTCTGAGCTTTTAGCACCAATCAGGTGGTGTTGCATAGTGTTATTGCATGTTACAGAATATAAAAATCAACATCAACAGGATAAATAATCCCATTTTGTAGTATGTTTTGACTGAGTCTCCTTTCTGATTTTCACAGCTTTATTTAAATCTATTTACCCATATGGAGTTACATTTTTTTCATCAGGGAGTTCCTTTAGAGACTAAAAATTGTATAAAGTAGCTAGCTTACCAACACAAGAGGACTCACTGCCATGCCCATATCTCTTTCAGGGCTCTTTGGTTTTCTAACATAACATTTAAGGTGCATGCAGATGTCACATTTGAAACATTTTCAAGCATAACAGGCTAAGACAGTGGTTATCAACCTCTTTAGACTCAAAGAACCCTTGATACACTCAAGGCACCCCTCAGAAAATGCCAGCTCTTAGTTTTCACACTTTTTTTTACTACAAAAAAAATAAAGCATTCCTTCTGTTACAAAGAATTCAGAAAGACCACAACAGGTCAGGAACTATGGATTCCTATTTGAGTGCCTATAGAATGTGACTTTTCATGTTCTAATTAGAACCCATCGGAGCAGACTCAATTCACTGAATCTACTCCATGCTCTAATTAGAATGTTCCTGCATCTAATTAAAATGCTCCAGCATCACTCCAGTATCACATGTATTAAGGCTATGAGCATTTCAAAATGGCTCCAGGGGCACTTTATCTAAACCTCGTCAAATGAGTTTTAGATAAAGCATTGCGTGGCCATTTTGAAATGTGCAAGGGCTTAATACACATGACAGTGAGCCATTTTAATAAGAGCAGCTATATGGGAACCCTCTAATTAAAATGCTCCCCCTCCCCCAAGTGTGTGTATAGGCAACCTCTGCATTTATCTTGTGAATCATGTTTGTATACATAACAGTACTAACACAGTGTGACACCCCTCACCACCCCTGAAAGGCTCTCAAGGCCCCGCAGCGTGCTGTAGAACCTTGTTTGAGATTCACAGGGCTAGGAAATGTTTTAAAAAGGTAGTGTTTCAGCCTCCAGATAGACATATAGCCCCTGTTCTGACTAGGGTGGCCATCACAGAGGACAGTCCAGTTGTCCTCTGTCCTCTATTGATACAAAGCCAGATGCCTTTATGTTCTCTATTTTTCTCTTGAAGATAAAATTAAAATGGCTCTTATTAAAATGGCTTGAAGAGAAAAATAGAGGACAAAAGGCATTGGGTTTCATATCAATAGAGGACAGAGGACAGAGTAGCAGAAAACTGAAATGTCCCTGGCAACCCTAGTTCTGAACCCTGGCTAGAGCACAAAGTTTCCTCAGGTGCATGCAGTGGTATATCCCCCAGCAAGAGAGAAGTTTGGGGAACTGAGGCTTTATTCCCCACCACCCAAGGCAGGGGGAGTGGAGGGGACTCACTGCCAAAGTGTGAGGAAGGTTGTGGGGGGATTCCAGCTCCAGAAGTGCTCTGAGTGCCCAGAGCAAGAGCGGCCCTGGTGCCCTATACAGCCAGGGTGCTGGGAGTCCCCCTGGTACCCTGAGTGCTAGGAGTCTCTGAGCAGAGTACTGGGGGCCCTGGCACACTAGACACTGCCAGCACCACTGCTCCTGACATTCTGAGATCCTGGGAGACAGTCAAGGAGTGTGCTGCATTTGGGATGTTGGAGGACCGTTTGACTCATACAGATGCAAGGTGGAACAAAATGGTACAAAACAGTATCTGCTCCCTGCAGGTGCATGTTTGTCACTCTTTGGAATGTTTTACCCCACTTACACACCTGTACAGTAGCCTTATAAAAACGTCAGAAGTTTTTCAAAGCCATTTGAAACGTTTCAAATGTTACATCTGTCCACACCCCTAGTTAGACAAACAATACAGTTCCTCCATCCAAGCTAGGAGACCATTCCCAGAGACTCTTTCCTAACAGTCCCACTGCTTCAAAGACTGCCTCTCTCCTGTGGCCCTCTCCTTTTGCATTCTCAGCCCACGTAACTTCCAGCTGGGTTTTATAACTGGGAATTGGTTAGTCCTATCTTCTTAAACCCACAGGTTCATTTATCATGTACGTCTCTCAGATAAAGGTGATATTCTCAAGGACTAAACTCCAGGCCACTGTAATCACATTTTGATCTTTCTTCCATTGATCTACTTCTTTTCATTAACTGGAACACAATGAAAAGAAGAATAACAGATTACCTTGTCAGTAAAACTGTGGAGGATTTTGAGACTTCTATTATGTTCCCTTCCTCCTTGAAAGAGAAGGTATGTAAGGTCAGGCCATAACCAAGGAGCCTTTTGTCTATGATGAATCAAATCACTCATTCTAGGATATGAAAAATAGCACTAATTAATATTTATTGCCAAAAACACAATCACAACGCATCCTTAAGAGCCTAAGGCAATCAAAATATCCCAAAACTGATGTAAAATACCATTTTATGATGCAGACACAATCATTTTGTCTTTAGGGGTACAAACTGCTTTTATTATTATTTTCTATTTATAAAGTTAAAAGCATCTACTGTAATTTAAGCAGAGTTTGAGAGAGTGAATGAAATCTATTCCCATGTCAAAGTAATATTAAACTAGGATATTTGGCAATAGAAAGAAAGGAAACTCAGAACCAAGTTATTTCAGCATTGCTGTGGTATAAACCTGATTTAACTTTACTGATGCTAGGTCTTTTCATTTGTATTTGTATTGGTGAAGTGGTATGGAAAGCTGAACTTTTTATTCATCTGCTTTCTAATTATTCATCTAACAATTCACATGATGTTTCCTCTGATTTTAATATCATTGTAATTGTCATCTAATGAACAAACCCCAGCAACACAAAGAACTTCTGCCAGAATAATTTTGTAGTGAGAAAACCATGCAATTAAAATTCAAGAGAAATGAACTCATCCATACTGTTGCTTCTCCAGTGATAGCTGCACCACTTTCTGCACAGATTTCCAATGTTGTCAAGTTCAAAGTTACCTCTATGATCTAGAATGGGGGAATGACCCTTCTATACCCATCAAGTCCTGAGCTTGACCAGGAGTTTGCCCAGGAACTGGCTGAGGCAGCTTGCTCCAGGACCATGGTTGTCATGGGTGACTTCAATTACCCGGACATCTCGTGGGAGGATCACTCAGCAAAATCTGAGCGGTCGCAGAGCTTCCTCTCGTGAGTGGATGACATCTACCTGACTCAAGAAGTCTATGGGCCAACGAGAGGCAAAGCGCTGCTCGACCTGGTACTGGCTAATGGGGATGACCTAGTCGGCGACCTAGTGATCGATGGGAAGCTGGGTGACAGCGACCATGAGCTGATCACCTTCACCATCCGCCAAAAAGCTGGCAAGTCGGTCAGCAACACGCAAGTCCTTGACTTCAGGAAAGCCGACTTTGACAAGCTCAGGAGGCTTGTCAGTGAGGCCCTAAGGGACCGTGACCACAGGGAGAGGGGAGTGCAAGAGGAGTGGTTGCTCCTCAAGGGAGCGATCCTCAATGCACAAACTAAGTCTATTCCATCTTGGAGGAAAGGCAGCAAGAGGGCACAGCAGCCCCCCTGGCTCTCCAGGGACCTAGCAGATCTCCTGAGGCTAAAAAGAAAGGCCTACAAAGGATGGAGGATGGGAGTCACCTCCAAGGAGGATTATTCTGCACTGGTCCGGTCCTGTAGGGAGCAGACCAGGAAAGCCAAGGCTGCAACTGAACTCCAGCTAGCTTTGAGCATCAAGGACAATAAGACACAGAAGCCTGGCTAACCAGGGCCAGGCTGCACCAAGTACCCGGATTACCACCGCTGCAGCCTCAGGACCCCAGGCCCCTGGGGCCCCAGCCACCCCTACCCCACCCAGGGCAACTTGCCCTGCACCAGAGCACATGTGCGGGGCATATCCAGGAGCAACTAGCAATGGTACAAATATGTGCCACTGCCAATTGTCCCTGGGATAAGGCACATTCCCATTAGTGGGGACATGCCCCAAGGATCTACCTGTGCCTAAGCATCTCCTGCAAGGTACTGAGGTCTTGATTCAGAAAAACATGCCTGAATTGGACACAGACATAATATTTTGCTTAACCAAAAAAAAAAACCCTTCTTTCTGGGACTGTTTTTAATTTTCATCTTTAAAACGTGCAACTTTCACCAAAAAAGGAGCAAATTTTATCGCTCTATTTTCTATCTGTTCTGACTTGACATGTGTCAAACCCAAAAGTGAAGCCGGGTAGGCTGTGCCTGAGACCCACATTCTTCAGAGCACTGGGGAAAGGTATAAGCTAACCTTGATTGCTTTAGATCAGGGCTTAAATCCTCAACCTTAAACGAGCAAGAGAAATGATAACATAAAACCTGACTCCATGAAGGAAGTTGGGCTACATGGCCCAGTTCCGGCCTTATGATTCTGTGATTCTGCCTCACTCAGCCAGCTTCCACTTACTGGGGGTGGAGTTGGGGGGCAGGAATAATTTCCCTTGCTTCCTTTCTGGGCACCTTGGAATGTGAGAACAAGCCTGATTCTGATTTTCTGATTTGAGTTACACCACTGTAAAGCACTGGGCTGGCCCAAGTATGATCATGATGCAAGATCACAATCAGCCCTCATGGAGGAAATGGGTGTCTAAAATATCTGAACATGCATCTCACTGAGCCATAGTATTAGCTCAACATTCTTGTGTGCTGTATATTTGGAAATGATCCTGTGAAGTGAAGTGAAGCCCCCAAAACTAAGCCTATAACTTCTAGGCTTTGGTTTCAGCATCCATAGATGCTTCTCAAGCAAATCCCGGGACGTCATTCTCCCCCTGTACTCGGCCTTAGTGAGGCCGTAACTGGAGTACTGTGTCCAGTTTTGGGCTCCACAATTCAAAAAGGATGTGGAGAAGCTTGAGAGAGTCCAGAGAAGAGCCACGCGCATGATCAGAGGTCAGGGAAGCAGACCCTACGATGACAGGCTGAGAGCCGTGGGGCTCTTTAGCCTGAAAAAGCGCAGGCTCAGGGGTGATCTGATGGCCACCTACAAGTTTATCAGGGGTGACCACCAGCATCTGGGGGAACGTTTGTTCACCAGAGCGCCCCAAGGGATGACGAGGTCGAATGGTCACAAACTACTTCAAGATCGTTTCAGGCTGGACATAAGGAAGAACTTCTTTACTGTCCGAGCCCCCAAGGTCTGGAACAGCCTGCCACCGGAGGTGGTTCAAGCGCCTTCATTGAACACCTTCAAGATGAAACTGGATGCTCATCTTGCTGGGATCCTATGACCCCAGCTGACTTCCTGCCCTTTGGGCAGGGGGCTGGACTCGATGATCTTCCGAGGTCCCTTCCAGCCCTAAGGTCTATGAAATCTATGAAATCTACTATAACATTTAAATTTTATTTCAAAAAATATTTTTTCCTGATTTGTGTGCGTTTGTGGAGTGTATATAGAGGAAATTGTAAAATAGCTCAAAATGAAGTCCCACTCTTGTGTATTGTGGGAGGATATGGGTGGCTGGGTATGGGATTTGTGTAGGGCTGTGGGGAGGTGTGTGGGTTTGAAGAGTGTGTGGGAGTGTGTGGATGTATGTGTGGGTGCATGTTTGGGATTTGTGGGGAGGGGTGGCTAGGTGTGGGG